TGTTACCTTGATTTTTTATATAAAAACTCACAAGATACACGAAAATATACGTGAATATACGCGAACTGTATATTGCAAATCAATTGCCAACATTTTGCAAGAAAAAAAAATAAGAGAAATATTTTTCGGAAAGAAACAGAATTTAAATGTAAAAATAAAGTTCCAAAAATTTCCTGGAATACCGATAAAATTCCATGAAAATTCCTAATTTTTAAAAATAAAAAAGAAATCGTCTGAAGAGTCTAGTTTTTTCCAAGTAACAAAATCGGTCTTTTAAAAGAGACCGATTTGATAATGAGAGAAACATAAATTTAGCAGACTTACTCACGGTAATCATGGACACACCCCAGTCTCGAAACCTCGGCATTAGATTATGCGCGATCGGTTTATCTATGTAGACCCCAGTTCTGGTCTTAACGGATAAGGGTATGTCTAACACCTGGCTAACAGACTTTATCACGGTCTCGAGTACGTTCAATCGATTGAGCATACCGCTGCCGCCTCCGTTTTTGTAAATCATATCGATCGGACACCCAAGATTCAAATCGATGTAGTCTGCATTGATCTCATGGTTCAACAACTGTGCACATCGTGCCAGCACTCCCGGATTATTGCCACAGAGCTGCACGCCGAAGATATCCTCGCTCTCGTGTCGCTTCACCAATGCCCATTCCTCCTGCAAGCCTTTTAGTATATTCGGCGCCAATGCCATCTCGCCGCAGGTGATATCCGCACCATACTCCTTGCAAATCCTTCGAAACGGCAGATTGCCTACCGTAGTCAGAGGACTGAGTAGTATCTTGCCGTTCCAATCGATTGTCTTTTTCTCTGATTGTCGCAATCTAATCAAATCACTATCATCCACAGGTCCGATTTTCAATTCTTCTGATTTACATGTGATATCACAATTAGAGGCATCTGTTTCTATTTTCTCATCATTCGCGTTATCAGAAATATGTTTCGTCACTTTCTTGTCATTGCTATTGTTAGAAATATTAATCGTGACATCTGATTTCGTATCATTTTTATCCTCTTCTTTACTATTCAAACTCTGCAGTTGCGTTTTTTTCCTAGACGGACCGTTAGCTTTGACGATTGCCTCCGCCCTGGAGAAATTATACTTGTGCTTGCGCAATTTGTTTTGCAAGCCCTTGGATAAGTGATTTTTGACAGACACTGGCGGACACTTGCTGTATTCCTCGAGTTTCTTTTCATCAATAATGTTGAAGCCATCTTCGGTCAAGTGTCCTGAGCCCATTCTACAAGTGGTTCCTCTCGGGCACTTGCCGGTCAAATTAAAAATATAACACTCTGTACCTATGTCTTCTGGCTTGATCTTCAGATACTCCTTTCGATCATGCAGGAAAGTACAGTGCTGATTCGAGCATTTTCTCTCCGGTTCATTTGCAGTTTGATCCGCGATCCATGGACATAGATTCAATTCCTTGGAAACTTTGAATGGAGGTGGCCTCGCTTTATTTTGTCCTCTGAGCTTCTCTCTCTTATCTTCCAATTTGACTTTCTTAGCAGGTACTTGATCCCATGATGCATCTGTATCTTCTATACCTGCATCAGCAGATACTTTCTGTTTATCGATCTTTGTCAAGCACTGATCACTCAATTGTCTTACATGATCCTCGATAATAAATCTACAATATCAAATACATATATTAATTATAAGATAATAATACTTAATAAATAATAACAAATATAATATATAACTGTTCTTCAGATACATCAGTACTTGTGTGCAAAAATTTATTGATGAACAGTATTTCAAATAATTTTCACAGAAAATTATCATTGTCATAAATTATTATCATTAACAGTTACCGTTGTTATATATTTAATATATAGGATCCAAGATAGAATTTTATTTGGATTTGAAGGAAAAATAATTAAAAGAGGAAGGTATGTATAAAAGACAATGGAAAGATAGCAAGTTAAGAACAAGTTAGATACAATAACAGGTACAAGAAGTTTGACATAGGAAATAGAAGCTACAAATATTTAAGGAAGGAAAATTTGAATAAGATAGGAATAGGAGAGAGTCTAAGGAGATTAGTGAAACTTAGGTGTGGAAATATGAAAAAGGGAAAATAAGTACTGGTTAAGTGATGAGAGAAAGAGATGTATATTTTGTGGAATAGGTACAAATCGCATGGAACGTTATGTTGAAGAGTGTCAGAAAATAAGTTGGTTCGGGATATTAGGTAGGGATAGAATGGAAATATGGAGTAGACTTTAGAACGAGGAACTAGACTCGAAAAAATGTGAAATTCTAAGAAAGTTGAAGAAAGGAAAAAGGAGATTAGAAAAAAGAATGCAGAATCTAAGATAACTACAGAGAAGGTTGGCACTAATTGATATAATTAGACAGCAGCGAATTAAAGTAGCAATAGCAGAATACGGCTATGATTATGTTCTGTGATATTTTTATAAGGACAAGAAATCTTTCTTTTCTATGAATAGGTCACTATATAGATATAGAAATTTATTAAATAGAAAGTAAAAGATGCATAGTAAATAGGATAGTGGTATGATAAATGAAGGTTAAGTTTATATCTGTAAACCAAGTTCCTTCTTGGCAATGTAAGCTGAAGTAATAAAATATATTCTATTACATAAAGAATCTCATTTATTATATTACGATAAAATATTAATTTTTGAATAAAAATTGAGAAAAGACTAAGTCCTTCAATATCTCTTACTATAAATAAATACAATTATCAATATAAATAAAAATTTAAATTAAGGGACAAAAACAGGCGATTGATAATCCGTGTCTCTGAATGAACAATTTAGGGGTTAGAAAATATGCGCGCTTGCAAATTTGTTCGTATAAGATTCATTCCTTATAAGATTAATGTAAGCCATCCGGCAAACATACGTACTCTTCTTTTATTAAGCAAACACCCTTCTGTCTGTCTTCGCCATAATCGAATGAACAGTCCCAACATTTCTCATTGTAATCTGCCATTTCTTTACATGTGCACTTGAATGCCGATGATTAGACCAGACTAGACATCCGACTCTGTTAGATTAATCTATTCATTAATTTTTTTAGATAATTATACAGTTTAGATAAAGCACCTCAAAAATCAATAAAATTAGGCTTATTCGACGCGTTTTTGCACGAAATGAACGAATCTGATAAAAAAGTATTGCCCTGCCCCGCGAAGTGAGATCCCACGCAGCATGAAATATTTGAAATATTTATTATGAATCATTTTTGGAAATATTTCAATAAAATATTTAAAAAATATTTAAAAAATATTTCGTAAATATTTTTAAAACGTTTTAGAATATTCCATTGAAATATTTCACAAAAATATTTTAGAAATACTGTAGAAACATTTCAGGAAACATCAAAAACTTTAATTCCTAGATATACTTATATTTCAGAAATATTTTATGAAATATTTCTGCATATAAATAGAAATATTTCTACATATTTCAAATCTTGCATGAGATATTTCGGAAATATTTCTGAAATATTTCATACTGTGTAGGATATAATCGTTAAAGTTAACTATTATTGTTAGGTTAGGAAATATGTCACATCGATGGCATAGAGGGTTAGGTACACAAATTCTGTTTTATAAATAGTGTTTTAAAAACACAAATTCTTTGGGTAATTATTTAGAATACTCCGCCTTCCCTAAAATCTTTATAAAAATGCACCCATTCTATGCGTATTCACTCAAAATGAAACAATCTGACAGAAAAACGCAGCAGTCAACATCGTGAACAGGACAACCAATCTGAACCAACGGCTACGTTTACACCGTGCATTTAGGCCGCGGCCTATACAAAAGATATCCTTAATATGGCTGTCATCGTTTCCGACCGCCATCTTTATCGCCATATAAGCCATATACAGGGCCTCGTAACTGCTGGTACAGTTCGCGCAATTAATGCCTTTCCAGCCTATGACATCACGTCCACTGGTGAGACATCTCGTTTATTTTCTCGGTTGTTTTCACGTTCATGGTCGTAGTCGATAATTCCGTCCCTCTTGACACTGAGGGTGGAGTCCCATGAGGTGTATTTATCGCGTATCGCATAACCGCGTAACCAATCAGAAGCGATCTGCTGTTATAGTTTCGCGTTTTACTGATTATTGATTGGTTATGCGCTTACGCGATACGCGGCAAACATGCCTGATGGGACTTCACCCTGCGGAACACAACGCATTTCCGCGTTTCCGAGCTCATGTAATGGCACCCTGAGTGCAGCCAGTGCATCCCAATCGAAAATAATTCCAACGCAGTGGTGCCAAATTCTGGCTTGCACTACCATTTGGTAACGCATGGTGGGGGAAGAGTGAGGGTAGTTTCCGATAGCTACAGTTATAGCTACAGCTATCGGAAATTACTCCCCCTCTTCCCCCACCACGCGTTATCAAGTGCAATCAAGTGGTAGCGCAAGCCAGAATCTCTAGCACCACTGCTCTAATGGCTCCTGCACACTGGACGCGAAAACGCTTGCCGCGCGGCAAAATGTGACGCGTAGCCAATAAGCTTACAGTTCCTAACATGTTCATTGGTTACCGCGTCGCATTTTGCCGCGCGGTAAGCTTTTCCGCGTCCAATGTGCAGGAGCCATAAGGTGCTTGATAGAGTGAGTAAGAGCTATGGTAGGAGCATGTTAGAGTATGTTGGAGCTTGAGACGCGACAAACCTCTGGGGTGCGTTCCAAAACTCGACTCTATCAATTCCGAGTACCTTTTATCCTTGTTCAACATTCGGTGAAGAACAAGGATAAATGATACTCGGAGTTGATAGAGTCGAGTTTTGAAACGCACCCCTGTAAAGCCCAGTGTCCACGATGCTAGAAATCCGTCCGAGATCTCGGATGAAGAAAGAATTGACCAATCGCATTGATCATGTGACTAAATTGTTTAAATGTAATTGGTTAATTCTTTCTCTCTCCGAGATCTCGGAGCAATTTCTAGCATCGTGGACACAAGGCTTAAGCGTATTCTATAAAAGTTACATCAAAAGAGCAGTTGAGATTGGTCGTATCGCTGAAGAGGATTGGGTGCTGTTACTCTGTACACAAGACCGCAGAAGTTAATTCCATCAAAAAGTCGATAAATTGTAAAGTAAGTTGAGTTTGCGTTGAGTTAAATATTTATTTTTATATATTATCAGTGCCAAGTATTGAATGAGAAAAATAAAATGGATATTTTTCAAGTTTTAGGTTTTAGGTTTTTATTATTTCTTTCCATTTTGCACAGCTGATTATTGTGCTTACGTTTGACTTTTGACGTTACTTTTCTTTTACAAGAATGAACATTTTATTTTTAAATAATTACCCTTTTAGTTCGTATTGAATTGCGTAAAACGTTTATTTTAATATTATGCTTGGCAAACAAATGAGTAATAAAAAATAGTTTTCACGTTTTATGGTTTGTTGTCCTTTTCATTTTGCACAGTTAATTATTGTGCGTTAGGTTTGACTTTACGTCAAGGTTACGTATTCTTGATGGACAATGCGACGTTATTTTGAAATTTTTAAGAGATTGAACATTTTATTGTCTTGCAACGTAATACAACATGTAATGAATTGTATTATGTATTTTAGGAGACTGCATATTACATCATACAAGTATTTATAATGATTAAAATAACAGATAGTTCTTCGGACGAAGATGATCCGTATACAAATTCTGTTGCTCGATTAAGAGGTAACACTTTTTCTTTTTGTGACAGTTATGTTAATTTATAATTGGAATATATGTTAATTTATAATTGGAATCCAGATGATCCAGAGATTTCTCCTAATTTTTAAATAGTAATGATTTGGAATAATTTTATGTATCATAATCTCATTTTTCAGTTCTAAACTTGAAAAGTCCTTAAAAAAGTAAAACTAATAACAAAATACCTTAGTGGGTCGCAATTAAAAAACCCATATATTCTTTTAGCGTCAAAAAAGATGTGTTCCTGTTACTGGTTATGAAAACCTAACATATAGTAATAAAAGCAACTCTATAATGTATTTTGATATTTCGAATTAATTCTTACAATTAAATGCAATATTTTGTTTTTAGTATTGAAAAAACAACGCTTTGAGAGAGTGGAACTTTCTCTTAAGGAAAGGTATTTATTACATAAATCATGATTATTTAAAATATTGTATTAATTACGGAATACTTATATTTTTACATTACATGAATAATACCTATATCATTATTAAAAATAATAAATAGAAATAGGCTTATAGATTAAAATCAAATACAATGCAGGAACATGAAAGCCAAACAAGGTCTAAGTGCTGAACATTATTTAAGACGTAAAGAAATCAGGTCAATGATCAAGCCAATTAATATATAAGTTAATTACAATTTAAATTAAAACATTTATTATATAAAATCAAATCATACGTTTTGTGACCACGGGTCACTTCTTCAGCAAAAACGAAAAACCTTAATAATTAATGTCGCTAATATAATATCGTCGGTATAGGCATAAACGCAATAAACAATGTGTGATCACTATTATAATATTATCACAACATAAAACTTGTTGTGAATAATATTTATAAAAATAAGTATCAGTTATATAAATATACGAACGTTTCAACCTTAGGTCATCTAAGTGTATTAATTATTAAATTGTAAAATTGTTAAATCGTTAAAATATTCGAAACGGCAATTAATAAAAAAAATATTTAAATTTTTGTTTTAAAAATATATTTCATGGTTAAAAATTGATTCAGAGCAGAATCTGTTTTCTTTGAAAATTTTGATTACGAAATTTTTTTAAATAAAAATTTAAGTACAAATTAAATATAAAATAGTAATAAGGCTCAACAAATTTAAAAATTCGAAAGGAATTAGGGCTATGAGGTTAATTATTGTGAGTTAAATTATTTATATAAACATCATAACAATAAAAAACACTTTAATGTCTGCTATAAACAATTATATAATAATGTAATTGTTTATAGCAGACATTAAAGTGTTTTTTATTGTTATGATATAACCTTTGGCTCGTAGCCCTAATTCCTTTCGAATTTTTAAGTACAAATTGTTTTATTAATTGACATTTCAAATATTTTAACACAATTTTAATTTTATACTTTAACGGTTAAGGGGATGCTGAATAATGTTTGTAAAAATAAGTATTATTCATACAAATACGCAAAAGTTTCAACCTTAGCTTGAGTCATCTTCAATATATTATGGACTGGTATTCATAGCTGGATCTTATATTTAAGATTGTCTTAAGTACAGTCTTAAGATGTTATGAACCATAATCAAAGAGCCATATTAGCATCTTAAGACATTACTTAAGACGATCTTAAAATATGAACGGACAATGAATACCACCCATGGAGATGCTGGATTGAGAGACCAAATTATCGACATTATAGTTTTATAAAAAAAATCTGCGAATTGACTGAACGGAATAAAAAATCCTTTTACAGGATTAAAGTAGACGCAAAATTAGATGTGGGTACAATAGACTATATTAAATTCGAAAAAAGTAAGTTTTTTTGAACTACTTCCTAATTTTCCTAGTAACGAAAGCGCTAACTGACTCAAAATAATCACAGGGCTGCATATGAAAAAGATAATTCTGTCGGACCACCTATACTTCTAACATTGTGATCATATTACATTGCACACATTTTATTCATTTTACTTTCAGCATTGCGCAGAAAACAAACTGTGAAGACATGAACGGTCATGGTAAAGATATAAAGGATGAAATAAATAATGAAATAAATAATGAAAATGTATATGATGATGAAATAAATAACGATGGAATACAAACGCGAAGCAGGACGATAAGAGGTAGAAGGATTAGAAAAAGTATTACTAGAGCTGTCGATAGGCGAACTCGGGGAAGGGTAATTTTTTTATATTTTTTTAAATTGTGTGTATGCGCACGCGCATACACACACACACACACACACACACACACACACACACACACATAAATGCAGAGTTGAAACGTTGCTTCATAAAAGTAACGCCTTACTCTTCAACTCTGTATAAATGTATTTATCTTGAAAGCAAAAATTGAATTTGGGAATTATTTTGATATCCAAATATAATTTAAACTGTTTTTAAGATTCTGAGACACCCTGTATATAATCTATAGAATATGCATCGATGTTTAATTCAAGAGGATATTGCATAATTTTTATGCCAATGTTTCAGCGTTTGCCTATTGATCTAGAATACAATGTGGAAATCATAGGGGAAGAAAAGCAGTCCGAATCTTGCAATGATGTAATTGCACTTTCGGATGATGATGCTTACATCGAAGATGACAACTATGAGATAAATATAAAAGTGTACTGGCGATCAAACAGAATTGATCGTTTAAGTATGCGTAGAGTATGTATCTCAGTTATGTTAATTAGTAACATATGGCAAACCATAGTTTCGTATAATTATTTTTATCATTTATTTAACATATTCGTAAAGATAACTTTCTGTTATTTTATAGCATGATAATTTCAAAGGGATTTTTGAGCATTATGCCAATTTAGAAGGAGTTTCTGTGAATGAAGTCTTAATCATGAAGAAGGATAAAATTGTTCATCATACCGATACTCCTGCATCGCTCGAAATTTCCATTATAGATATACTCGGTTCGTATAAATTACTCATTAATTTTAATACAATAATGTAATGTTAACTTTATACTTGCAGATGGTGGGATAGTGAATCCAGGTATGAACACACTACCCAAGGATGAAAGCAATGATGAGGACATATGTAATATTAAAGTACAAACTGCGAACAAAAAACAATCCTTAATTATTCCACTTAAGAAAGATAAACCATTCAAGTTGCTATTCGCTAATTGCGCCGAGCAACTTGGTGTGAAGGAGAATAATTTGAAGCTTTACTTTGATGGAGAACAGATTAATCCATCAGATACTCCAGAGTCCTTAGATCTCGAAGGAGAAGCATGTATCGATCTTCATATCTCTGCGTAACGTGTAATAAAAAGATAGCTGAAATTTTTTATATATATTTACATAAATTATGTTCATCTTTTATTGTAAGCATAACAACTACTTACGATACATTGTACATCCTATATTACTTGTGTTTTAGAAACATGTAATTATCATCATGTTGGTAACTATATATGGCTGTCATTTGTAATTTAATAGAAGAAAGATGACTGATCAATTTTTAAAAAGCCTTACTAGTGTAAACTATTTACTAATATAAATAAGTAATCATTTGCAGAAATATACACATTCTTAAAGAAATAAGTACAAGCAATAAATATGTAAATCAACTTTGAAATAAAATGGCATTTGTGATAGAATTATTAATTATTAAGGGACATAATATTTATTACTGAGATTTTATCTTTAGTTAGTGTTACAAGAATAATGTTAAATCAAAATAGTGTGTAATGTTTACTTTAAAATATACTTTAAAACAAATATAAGTGTTTGCATCTTGGATTATATTTACTAATATAATATTAAGTGCTACGATATTAGATTTGTGGAAGTAAATTTTTTAAAAAGATTTTTACAACAACAACGAATCATATATTTATTGTGATACATTATTATATTATACATAATGTACATAATATACTGATATATGCTCTATAAGTATACAAATATATTATATACATATAAAGCGCATTCAATACTTCTGTTTATTACGATTCTGCACAATATATTGACTGTACTACATTCAATTGCAATTGCTATTCTTTTTAACACAAAGAGTCAAGAACATTAATTATTAATTATACATTTCATCCGCGTTAACATTCCTATCCTGAGAAAGTACACTTTGTCTTGTTTGTGAACACCAATTTTAACGGAAATTTTAAGTCGATATCGAATATATCACGAAATATTTCATCGCTATACACTTTATGTTCATGATTACCGTCTGTCAGAAGGATAGGGATAAAATAAAAGGGTATTTGTGATGAGTACTGTACAATTTGTTTGCGACTCTTTCAACGATAAATATTGCACGGCAATTGATCAAATACTTTCAAATACATTGAAAATATTAGGCATGAGTCTCGACAAAAAGTGTATTATATGCTAATTTTATTCTATATAATACATGATAATGCGATAGTAATTTGTTGTTAAAAGGAATGTTTTGGAGAGTCAATCAATTGTCGAGAAAAATTAGCTTAATCATTAAATTTGCGATTTGAATTGTGTCCAAACAGAGCGGAACGAATCTCGGGTATCAGTTGTTGCGCTATCAGTTCTAATCTGGTCTCCAAGGTATTGCTAATCTTTATGCGCCCTGTGAAACAAAAAGTTATTTTGTATATAATATTAATTCAGCAATTAATATAATTACTTTGTTAAAATCAAAGTTGTAATTCAAATCACTTAAAATTTACGTGATATATTTTACATATTTCTCATTATTTTTGCAAAATGGCAATTAATAATTTTAGTACAACAAAAAATATTTCGACGATATAATTACCTTTGGATGCTAATGACTCCACACCTCCGCAGCTTTCTGTAGGCAAGAAATTATCAGAATCGATCTTCAAGACAACATCTTTCTTAGTTTTCTGCTTATACTGCTGCTGAACGTTATCAATAAGGGATTCTACGAGCGGCAGATCGACTTGACGAACACGAAGAGTAATGTTTGACTCTGTTAGCTGTAAAAATATAAATTATGCTATAGAAATGTTTATAAGGTTAAAAAAATGATAATGTAACACACACGATAATAATAAAATAATTAAAATTATAAAAATATTATACTTGATAAAGTCCTTGGATTATCAGCAGATGGAGAATTTCTCTATATTGCGCAGGATTATGAGTTATTTCACCTAATTTCTTTCTAGCTTCTTCAAGAACATTGCGTACATGATCTTCACGCACTTTTAAAGCCTTCAATCGTGCCTGGTTAAGCATGTTTGAAGATTGTCTACAATTAATAAAATTATAAAATGCAAACGCATATTAGATATTTATATAATTTTTTATAAAATAAATAAATTTAAACCTTAAAGAGATCCTAAAGTCGTCTGTTTTACCGATTCAGTAGGACTTACATATGATTCATGTGTCATTGATACACACGCACACAAAATATAAAATAAAACTAATATTAAAATAATGTTATATTATATATTAATGCACAGTGGACCAGAAAATCAGAAAAAGTGGCCAAAATAATTCAATGAAATAAAAATGCTCCAATTGCTGTCAGGTACTCAAGGATTTTTGAGGTCGCTGATTTCAAATCCAAACTCAAAATTTATAAATTCAAAATAGAAGATCCAATACGGCAAATGAGCTAGAAAAGGCGGATTGATGTATCAGTAATGGAAAGATCCGCTCTTTCATCATCACAGTATTAGTATTAGTAGTATTCATGTTGTTCATCTGAAAATTGGAAGCTTTTTGCCGTAAACACGCAACGAAAGATCGATAAAAACAAATATTTGACGTACGGCGTTTGTCTGGGATCGGGAACGAGAAGCACGGTTCTCTCACGGTTATTTTAAGAGATGTCCTAAAGACATTGAAAGAACTTCTATATGTTCCAAACTATTCTATAGTTTTCTAAGACGTCCCCTTGAATAAAGTGTGCTGTATAGGAAGTTTAAAGTACGATAAATTTTGCTATTATATTCATTTCGTAAAGTTGATGGTAGTTTAATAAGAGAAATGATCGATTTTGATACATTTTCCATTATTTAAATATAAATAATTATTAATATATTAAATCGTTGAAGCACTTATTTATGTTGATTGAAAATTTATATATTTCTAATGGCATTGTTTATTTAATCGATTTAAATAATATGTTTAATAAGAACGTATTAAAAATAAATACGACGGTGATTCTGATCATACATTCGTAACGATTGCAAATAATCATGAGATCCACAGGACACACATGGATAACAAGAATACAATTATGTTGGTTAGCATGAGATCTCTTTTAATGTTGAATACTCAATTAGTCTATTGAAATTGTATGCGAATTCACAAGACATTTATGATGACATCTCTAATGGTTTTTACATTTAAATTATTTAATTTTATGTAAACTACATTTATCATGACTCCTTTATTGTTATTTCTATTTTTATTTTAATTTTACGTTTCACACTGAAAATGACCTGATTAAGTCAAAACGTATGTAGTTTCATGTATTAAGATTTAATAAACATTGATTAATAGGCACCTATCAACTAGCGTTAACTTGTAGCCTTTCTTTTATGAAAATTTTAATTAAAAATTAATATATTAATAATTATTCATATTTAAATAATGGAAAATATTTTATCAAAATTGATAATTAGACAATTAGCCAAAGGCGCACAAAAGTCGCCGATTTAACTTCATATACACACTGAGCGCAATACAGTAATATCTCATTTTTATAATTTAAATGTGGTGCATCATGATATGATGTATCGGCATCTTGAATCGGGATTGAAACACAGGAGATAATTTAAGTTAAAATATGGTTGAAAACGGCTTCTTTGACAGTTTTAAGTAAGGATATCTCGAAATCTAGACGTGATACAGCAATTCTGCAGCTGGATTCGGATTCAGCGCAAAAAATTACGTCAGAAAACATTATTAAATCCCAATCAACTTTCAACACCTCCAATTTTGCAGGTCTGTGTTATTTATCATTATACATATTTATTATAAAACAACAAATTATTTAAACAATACGGAGCGATTTATCAGTCTCCTGGCCCACTGTGCAATGTATATTGTATACATATATATGTAATAAAAGAAATTAATTTTTCATACATACATCTTTTTTTGCAGTTCAACTTGCTTTTCCTTTTTCTCATAATACTCCATGATCTTGAGACGCTGTTGTTGCACCAGGCGTCCCTTCTCAATATTAAATTCTTCTTCTGCCTTAGCATCTATTTCCTCTGCCTTTTCATTGGCCTCTTGTTCTATGAAGGCCATCATATGCTTGATCTATAATCATACCATTTCATTCTTTATCTCCAAATCATGTCTTAGTAAGGAACTTCATTTAATTACTAAATTTTTTAATGTTTATCCCACAAACATTAAAATGTAAAGATATTAAAACGACTAAAGAATTCCTCGATGAGATATCAGTTATTGTCCAAGTTTCGCGAGCCGTCATTCATTTATTCGATTTTACTCTTGCTCCGTTCAGCTCCTGGTACAAGAATAAGAGCAGCTATGAAAACGAAATTCGAAATAGTTGAAAAAATATATAATCCCTCTTGAGAAATGTACCTGACAAAGGTATTAACGTTTTAGCGTGACAATAAATAATCGAAAAGATATTAATAGCGCAAGAGTACAATGCTGAGTTCAAATGAGACGAGTTGGGGAAAAGGACGGAATGTTTCACGGAAGGACGCGTCACTTTATTTTTCCTCGTTTACCTGCTTCTGAACGTCTGCGTCGCTGAGAGCCATGATGTCGCTTGGTCAATTTTCTTCCCTAAAGATGCTTGGTGGGCTCGCAAGGACTCGAGATCACGAGACTTGGTGAAGAGAAGTCGTTCAGTCAACGCCTACGACAGCACACTCAATGCTCGGCGTAACGTCGGTCATATGACCCGAAGTGTGACCAGCCAGAGGTGCGTTCCGAAACGCACGCGACGACGGCAGTTAATCGTGGTTTCAAGCAAATCGACCAATCACAATCAAAATCGCGATCTCGTATCACGTCCGTAACCCCGGATCTACAATAGGTGCTTTAAGCCTTAAGTCGTAAGAAATTGACCAATTACAGTCGAATCCGAGGGGAATAATCGACTGTGATTCGCTAATTTCTTATGGCTTAAGGTTTAAAACCCTATTGTAGATCCGGGGTTACCCAAAAAGGATTTTTTAACAAGGTTAAAAACTTCATCTACTTCGAATCGATATAATCGATTTTTAGTGTTCCGATACGGATATCGCCCAAAGTATATACATTTGTATTATTGTTAAAATTAAACATTTTTGCCGCCTTTTCTGAGAGGAGACATGAGCATAAATATTTTGGTTCCTACTAGGAAACTGCCACACTCGCACTCGTACATATTAATGCATATATTTTAATCCTGGAAAAGGATCTTCAAATCTTAAAGAAAAGAGGAAAGAAGTAACACACTTTCTTCATGCAAACTATTAGTCTGTGGACTACTATTTCGTAAGTACAAATCGCACAGCTTTTATATGAAATAAATGTTGTTACAATGTAATAGCTCTAGAACACCATATTGAAATGGTAAAGATCTCAATTTCGAAATTTTTTGTCGTTCTCAGCATCGACTCCATCTCACAGACACATATCTATTAATGCATATACTTTAATCCTAGAAAAGGATTTTCAAATTAGTAAGAGAAGAAAAAAGTAATTGTACAAAAATTATATGATTTAGTTGGTAATACAAACAACTTTAGGATCCCCTTAACTAATAATTTTTCGTAACATATAAAAGGAATATGATAAATAACAGATTTCCAGTAAAATAATCTTGTATTTAATTCAGAATATTATCTTTTCAGCTTTTTTCATGCTTTTACTCGCTGCATCGTCAGCTTTAATTTTTCTTTTTGTAAATCTGTAAAACGCATCCGTCCGCAATTTATTTATCTGCCTTACTTTACGCAGCTTGAAGCGGTCAAAGTCGTTGAGTTCTGTACGCTGAAACAGAAAAATATTTTTCCTAATTATAATATCATTCCAAAATATATTATTTCTAAAATTGAAACTATGTCATCAGAATCAAGTTACAGTCGTCAGTAAAAGTCAGACGGCATTTCCTATCAAAAAATACTGGTTCATCATATATTTAATTTTTTATAAACATAATTTTTCAATATTTAATTTTTTTGAAACATAAAAATGCATTAATATCATTTGCTAGAAATGAAATAAGCATTATATTTATTTAACATAAATAGCAACTATTAGCATAATAAACAATTAGCATATTCTGTAATACCTTCTTCTTGGCTTCTTTTTTGGCCCACATCGTCTCTTTCCAAAGTTTCGTTAATATTAGCCGTATCCCATTTTATCGTGCTTTACGCACGACACCAGAGAATTCAGAAAACGGAAAACGTAAATGGAATTTTGTCAAGTGAAGCTCATTGAATCTCATCTCGCCATGGGATACACCTGACGATGAACCATCGACTAGAACCTGTGTATGTGAAAAAAGGGTATCAGTTTTGAGATTTGAAGAATTTAACAACTTGTTAAAAAAGTTACAACTATATCATCAAAAAGAAATTAACATCACCAAAGTCAGTCAGCAATTCCTACTATATACTACTCCATCATACAAAAATATAGAAATTGTAGTTTATTTATAGTTTATTATAGAGTTATTATTGAGTTATATTATAAAGACAAAAGTATTAAATAGCATCGAAATATAACAAGAAAAATGAATTTTATTTCTTTTACATATTTAACACGAATTCTAAATGTTTTTTTTTATGAATTTTATGTAATTTGGTAAAAAATACCGTTTTTTTACTCTCTCTCTCCAAAGATATTTTTCTCCGAAGTCAAAAATACCGTTTTCTTACATCTCTAAACAGAACGTTTATTTTGCAACTGTTTTCTTCACGCTGATTGGCTTATACTTTTAGATTTAGAAGAATGATCCTATTTCAGCAGACAATCATAAAACGGTTGCAAAATAACTGTTGTATTCTGCTGAATGCAGCCAATGTATTAGCTACAGAAAATTGTTTGATACTGTATAATTCTATAATTTTTTTTATACCAAAAAGATTAAAAAATTTTAACAGAGAGAATACATATATATATATATATAGAGTAAAATTTCCTCGGAAAGCACGTTTTAGAACGTAGCCTTAATAAAATAATGCTAAATTTATCAAAGTTTGGTGGAAGTCGTCTTTGATGTGTTTTCTTTTTTAAACTCCACAAGCGTGATTTAAAAATAATTTATTGCGCAAATTAATAATAATATTAACCGAACCGCGCCATTATAAGAACGCAAGATGCGTCTAGAATCCCATGTGTGCACCATGCGGTTGACAAACGCTCGACGACGTTAAGTCGCAAGATAATTCACAAAGCAAAAGTGACCGTTAAAAATTGCGAGCATAATCACACCATGATATAAAGGTGCCTTTACATGGCAGCATCAAGCGTCAGAGCATACGTAGTGATGAGGTAAATTTTTACGAGCTGTGTTTAAACAGGCTGTTTCAGCGACAAAAAGGATCACGTGGTTAAAATGGATGAACATCAAGCGTCCATTTTGATCACGTAATCCTTTTTGTCGCTGAAACAGCCGGTTTGAGCAGCTTGTGAAAATTTACCTGTATGTTTAATAATTTTACTGAAATTGAATTTAATGTACGAGATACACTAATGGTGGAATCTTGCAATTTACACTATATAATGTAAATAAATATAAATTTTCAGTGTTATTTGTTAGGATAGTAATGTACATCAGAACATAACCTCTCATAATTTACCATTTTGCATCAAGAAGCTGTACAGAAGATTATTACGCAGGAGTCGGGAAATTTAAACTTCTGCGCAGATTTGAACGTATGCTTTTAAGCATGCCTTTCAATCCGAAAAATTTTCCGATTCATTTTTTGTCTTATGATGGTAATTTCCGCATCCTTTAACTGCACAACGTATTTTGAATGTGAAATCACTTGACTTTGCACTACAGAATTTATTCGGCACGTGTTGCACATGTGTTGGCGACATGACTGGCCGAATGTGACCTATGATACATGTGCAGTGGTCTACCACCGATCGAGCATACCCTTGTCTTTATATTATATCGTTTTCGATTGGGGTGCACTGGGATCGGCCACGGGGGGATACACAAACTTCCCATCCTCGCACACAAAATCTGGGAGCGGGTCCACGATATTAAACATCGTGACAAAACCAACGCGTACAGACTGATATCACACAACTGAGGCCATTGCAAACGTTAAAGAAGTAATGGCTCCTGCACACAGAACGCGGCAACGCTTACCGCGCGGCGGAAGTTGTCACACTAACTAATAATTCTATGTTCTTAAGTCGGTCTCACCTTGCAAAACTTCTAGAAATGATGTAATACTACTTCCGCCGCGCGGCAAAAGTTGAATTGAGTTCAACTTTTGTCGTGAGGTGGAAATTATATATCTATTATGGCTCCTACACACTGGACGCGGAAACGCTTGCCGCGCGGCAAAATGTGACGCGGTAGCCAATAAGCTTACAGCTCTTAACATGTTCATTGGTAACCGCGTTTTGCCGCGCGGTAAGTCCTGATCTACAATAGGTGTTTTAAGACTTAATCCGTAAGAAACTGACCAATTATAGTCTAATCCGAGGGGAATAATCGACTGTGATTTGCCCATTTCTTATGGCTTAAGGTTTAAAACCTTATTGTAGATCCGGAGTAAGCTTTTTCGCGTCCAGTGTGTAGGAGCCATTACTTCCGAGCAAGCGAGACGTTGATTGGCTATCGCGTTAACTTTCGCCACGCGGCAAGCGTTGCCGCGTTCTGTGTGCAGGAGCCATAATAACATACATTAACATAAATTAAATAAATATTATGTTATTATGACTGTCATGTCATCGGAAAAGGACCAAGAATATAGAAATACTAGAGAGACTACCTATCGCGTCTAATGGAATATATTTAATTAAAAATGTTTGGATGACTCACACAAATATTTTTAATAACTTCATAACTCTTCGTACGAAATACGAACGATTCCATGTATAAACTTTGTTGAATTTAGATCCGGTTAATTATTTCGGTCAAGTACATGATCCAAAAAAGAATGATTAATTGTAATTAATAGAATGTCTCACAAACCTTTTTATTTAACTTCAAAACTCTTCATACGAAATACGAACGATTTAAAATAATAATTGTTACAATCGAAGGTTTTGTTCGGTCACGTACATACGAATCATAAGGTCTGTTCGCGTTGCATGAAATTCCCAAATATTTTTGCACTTAAAATGAAATATATTTGGCCTTGAAAAGAGAGAAAGCGAAGACGCCGAGTGCCAAAAGTGCAAGCAACGCGAACAGACCTATAGCGATAGCATAGCTACTATTGCGCGTCAGCCCCAAGTATTCCGAAGTCGTTTGCGTATCCGGCAGAAGTCATGATTTCTAGGAGGGTAAAGCAGGGTAAAGGGGACGCCGAATACACCAATTAGCCTTGTCAAGTCTTGCTGTCTCTGAGTTTTGTGACCATGGCGGATCCGCTGAGTTTGCTGCGGCAGTATAATGTTAACAAGAAGGAAATAATCGAACGCGAGAACCAGATCATATTTGGCGAGTTCTCCTGGCCCAAGAATGTCAAGACCAATTATCTGACTTATGGGTGAGTGTACGGCAAAAACGGTGTCTTAGAATGTCTACTTATTCCGCGCGGTTACAATCTGTGCTTGACTGCCATCTCTAAAGCGAAAGTAGGAGAGAAAGAGGGAAATACGATGTACATCCGAGGTATGATAGCCTGATAACGATAGTGAAACAAACTCATTATAGATGTACTTTTGCCAAGTCGAGCTAGAAACGTTCACCACGTGCCTTGTTACGTCTGTGATTTTTTAAAACATTTTTTAATTTTCTTTAGAAACTCCAAACTGTCTAGAATTTGTATTTTTGAACGATATCTTCTGTATATTTTTAAACAAAATTTATTTTTTTTTATTGATTGTGATCTTTATTATAAGATCTTTATTATAAGATTGATTCTTAATCCTCTGGAACTAATGCCAAAATCTATAACACAGGGTGCTTTACTGCTTTCTAGCAATGGAACACTGTTATACACTGTGTGATATTCAGTGTTGAATTTTAGCTGAAACATTGTTTAGCTTTTTTATTTTATCACAAGTGAAATAAAAAATAAGATCTTACAAAAATAAATACATGTTTGAAATTCAGATATATTTCGAGTCTGATTATATTTGAATATAATCTTAAAACTTCTTACCAGAGTATCACTCTTAGAAAAATAAATAGTAATAAAATGTAAAAATTTATTGTTTGTGAAGATTTATTGTGATATAAAACGATGATACAGTTAAATACAGCATTTTAGTTGTGTACATTTGTGCCAACTTATGTTATATTTAGAAAGTACTGAAATGTGAGTAAAAACTTCTGTTTAAGGGAACCTTCTTCAATGACCTTGATTTTGATATATGTTTTCAAGAGGATTAATATTAAAAAAATTTTAACCGTCGCTCGTTTATTAAAAAGTTATTAATAAAGAAATTTGAAAATAGAACATGATTTGTAGTATAAACCCATATGGAGAATTTACTTTGCATCAAAGTGATTGGAATAAATTCTAAAAACAAGAATTTTTTAATATATGTTTTTAATATATATTGATTAAAAAGACACTAATTAATTAATTTCAAGGAATCAAAATCGCATAACTCATAAAAGTAAATGAATATTAAATCTACTTTAATAATCCAAATTTGTGGATAACAAAACAAACATAAAATAAACATAAAGAAAATTGAATTATTTGATATTTTTGTGTAAAATGTCAATTGCTATAATAAAAGTCACAAGAATTAAGAATTAATAGTAGATTCAAATATAATAATGTATTTTTTATCTTAACATTACTTCACATAGAGAAAGCTAAATTATTTTTATTTATCAGAATTTTGTAATCTAAACAACCACTAAGCAGTGGGTTCCCAATAGATTCACGTCAACTTCAGAAAATTAAACTTTATTTCACAGTATCGTCTGATTTGAGTGTTTTATTTTTGCGTGAATCATTTTTCTTTTACTTACAAAAACCTGTAAGACCATGCTTGCTCTGAAATTGGAGCAAAAGATTGTCATTTCCTCTCTTATCTCTGCTTTTTCAGTTGAATTCAAAGTTAAAACTTGATTGTGATAAATTAGATTGTGATTTTAAGTTCAAAATTAAACATGTATTTTTATACGAAAAAATTTATAACGAAAGCATTAGTATATATTACATATTTTATTTAAAGAGATACAAAAATTGATAAAACAATAATAAGAATGTCTTATATTTTTTTTACAAAATGTAAAACTTTTTGAGAAGGAAGCGCTGGAAATCTTGTTAGAAACATTGATCATGTTTCGTTGTGTCTATAATTTTCCTCTTTGAAAAACTCTTCGATTTTCCTGAGGAATTTCAGAAACTTAGCATTTATATCTTTTTATGATACTTTTTGAACTCTCTTCAACAAAATTTAATTTCTTTTTCTACTGAGCTTTAGATTGATCTTTAAATTTTACTCTTTAATACTGTCTGATATATGAATATTTTCCAACCTTTTTTTTCACTTGTAAACCTATGGGATCATATATGTTCTAAAATAGCAGTACAAGATTGTTATTTTATTACCTTTGATTCTCAGTTGAATTCTAAATCAAAACTAAATTGTAATACTTTAATTTTAAAATTAAACACGCGTTTGTATGACAGAATTTATACTGAAAGCAGGTACACAAGCTTGGTTATAAGTATAAAAGCAACCTCAGATTTATTGCATTTCTTCTTGAAAGAAAGAAAAAAGTAATGAAATCCGAAGACAAACTAACAAAATATTGAAATTGCTATGACAATAAATGTTTAATTTATTTTTCATTAGATATACACAGACGTTTACATCGATTTGTAGGAGTACTTTTTATAGTTCTGACCAAGACCGTATATTATATATTCTGTTTAAAAAGATATAAAGATTGGTAAAATATTTATAATAAAAGCATCTATTATTTACAAAATGAAGAAAATTCTCTTTGAGAAGGCTATATATATTTATATTTCTTTCTGTTTTCCAGATCCGGAAAAGAAGGGACACCCAAGGAATATTATACACTTGAGTGTCTTTTATTTCTGCTCAAACATGTTCAGCTTACACATCCAGTGTATGTGCGACAAGCAGCCGCGGAGAATATCCCGGTGGTGCGTCGACCTGACAGAAAAGATTTGCTGGCCTATCTCAATGGTGAAACTGCCACGTCAGCCGCCATAGACAAGTCGGCGCCGTTAGAAATTCCAACGCAGGTGAAACGCGCCGCAGAAGATGGCTTGGAAAGCGGCTCGTCGAAAAAACCCCGTTTTGAGGAGACCCACGTGCAGAAGGTGAAGGAGCAACTAGCTGCACGTCTGGATGCTCCTAAGGAAGCCTCAGTTACCGTCGACAATATCAAATCCCTCTCGGAGGCAATGTCAGTGGAAAAGATTGCCGCAATCAAGGCGAAACGTTTGGCGAAGAAACGTACTACTATCAAGGAGAACGATGACATTGGCATGGGCTCGGATCTACGCGTAATCCTCGACATGGATGTAGACGATACAAAAGACATCGTGTCCCGCGAGCGTCAATGGCGAACACGCGCCACTATCTTGCAGAGTAGCGGCAAGATCTTCGCTAAGAACATCTTTGCGATTCTGCAAAGTATTAAGGCACGTGAAGAAGGTAGGCAGAAGGGCCCAATCGTGCCTACGCCCATGGTGACGCCGCGCTCGACACCCATGAGGCCCCTTCCACAACCAGCCGTCTACAATCGTTACGATCAGGAACGTTTCATCCGGCAGAAGGAAGAAACAGAAGGCTTTAAGATCGACACTATGGGAACGTACCATGGCATGACCCTAAAGTCGGTAACTGAAGGCACAAATCCCGCCGTGAGGAAACCCCCGACCAATCCGTCCGCCACGCCAACCTCCGGTTTACTGCCGACATCCGCCGCTAAGCTAACGCCTCAGCAAGCCGCGCAAAATAAGCGACCTAGTCGAACGCCCATTATCATCATTCCTAGCGCCAACACATCTCTCATTACCATGTACAACGCTAAGGACATCCTCCAAGACTTGAAGTACATTAGTAATGAGGACAAACGGTCGCAGGGTTGCAAGCGAGAGAATGAGGTGCTTCTTCAACGGCGGAAGGAAGGTGGTCTGACCGTACCTTACCGGGTAGTCGATAATCCACAAAAACTCACAAACGCCGATTGGGAGAGAGTCGTTGCTGTGTTTGTCATGGGACCGGCTTGGCAATTCAAAGGTTGGCCATTTGATGGCAACCCGGTGGAAATCTTTTCAAAAAGTACGAAAAAATCTCTTTGTAGTGAAAATACGTG